AACGTCAAAATATATCGTAACTGCTAACTGAGTCATAGCTGCAAACACAAAAAAGTTATTTAGTCTTATAACGATTTGTATCTTCAATCATCATAAGCCAAAAGTTAATTTCTCTTCTCAAAACTAAAAACGTGTTAGAAATGTTTGTATCTCAATAAAGAAGAGGCATGAGAAAGCCTCTTCTCTTGGTTTTGTGAGGTTTGATAGAGTGGATGACGCAAACAGGGAAAAAAGTATGTCAATGAAGTCTTTATGCTGCAGTGAATGGATATATTGGTTAAAACTTCTAATAAGGAGAGGTTGATTTTAAATGGAAATTAAGGGGTTAGTGGGAGGGAGGTAAAAAAAAGAGTGGTAAATCCCAACACTAGGATAAATCTTTAGGGTGGTCTTAACGGGCTGATGGGATGAGAGAACACATAAACGTTTTAAGTTTTTTTTAAAAAATAAAATGAATGAATTAAATTGTTAAGTTGTTAAAACATCTAATAAGGAATGAATGCCTCTAAGTATTAGCTAGCTGTTGATACATTTATTTGATGATGGTGCACGATTAATCCCGAATAATGTCTGTGATGTGGTAGGTTATAAGAGTCTGTGAACAAGTTTTTATTTTCTTTAATCCCTATTTACAAAGTCGACATTAGAGGAATGACAAGATTTCTTCAACCAGTAGCTTGAGTCCACATATTGAGAAGATAGTTTAAATTTGCCTTTATGTGTTTTAATATTTCTCAGCTTAACTTTTGCTGACGATAAAAGGATTTTATTTATAGACATAATGAGTCAATCTTGACCTTACAAATGTACAATAAATATTTACAGACAAAAATAAAAATAGGAATAAATATTATTGTAACGATTTTGTAAAATTATGAACTGGTAAATTCTAGAATCATGAGCTTATCATTTGTCCTTGCTATCATGGCTGGAATGTGCATAAATATTATCGTTCTAATCATTACTGACAACTCTAATATTCCTTTGAATATTCCTCGACACATGACAATTCTTAACATCCCCCATCAAATTTAACAGTGGGAGAGAGTTTTTGAACACTCCAAGTTTATTTCTCATACTGTAAAATTGAGAGCCTGTTGTAACTTTGGTTAAACCGTCTATAACTTAGTCTTGAGAAGGTATGTATCTAACTTCAAGTTTTTTCTCAAGTACTTTATCTCTAATTAAGTGAATATCAACTTTTAAGTGTTTTGTTCTAGCATGAAATACTAGATTGCTAGCAAGCTGATTTGCACTTAAATTGTCACACCAGGTTACAGGTACTTCTTCAATTGGAAATGAAAATTATTTGAGCAATGATTTCATCTATGAAATTTCATAAGATACTAGAGCAAAATCCCTATATTCGAATTCTGTGTTTGATCTTGTAACCATTTGCTATTTTTTAGAGCTATAGGAAACCACAGTTGAATCCAAATAGACACAATACCTTGTTATGGACCTTTTATCATCCTTATTGCATGCCCAATTAGCATAAAAAAAACCTTGTGATGGTATATTTGCTATAGGGTTGAATGTGAACGCTGAAATTCTTGGTTCCCTTGGGGTACCTTAATACCCTTTTCATTGTTTGCATATGTTTCTTAGTTGGATTTTGAAGAAACTGTCTTAGTTTGTTGATTGTCTATGCAAGATCAGGTCTAGTATGTGTCACATACTATAGGGATCCAATGATTCTTCTATAGATTATGAGATTCTTCAGTTGTTCCCCATCATCTTTTATCAAAACAACA